AAGTTCTTGTGTTTCAGAACAATTTTAATCGTATTCATAGGTAAATTATTCTGCAGTTCAAGGTCGTGCATGGAGGACAGCTGACAGATTCATTCCAAGTAAGGACCGAAGTAAGACAAGGCTGTCTACTCTCCCCTTTCTTCTTTCTTCTGGTGGTCGACTGGATTATGAAGACCTCAACATCTGAGGGAAAACACGACATACTATGGACAGCTCAGAATCAACTAGACGACTTAGACCTAGCCTTCCTACCGCATACACACGAACAAATGCAGATGAAGACAGACAGCGTAGCAGCAGTCTCTGCATCAGTAGGCCTCAACATACACAATAGGGAAAACCAAGGCCTTCAAATACAACACGGAGAATACCAACCGAACTAATCACACTTGGTGGAGAAACTCTGGAAGACGTGGAATCCTGCACATACCTGGGAAGCATCATCGATGAACAAGGAGGTTCAGATGCAGACGTAAAAGCGAGGATTGGTAAAGCAAGGACCGTATTTCTACAATTGAAGAACATATGGAACTCAAAACAACTGTCTGTCAACCAATACGGAAGCCACAATCTTCAATACGAACGTCAAGACAGTTCTATTGTACTGAGCTGAAACGTGGAGAACTACAACAACCACCATCAAGAAGGTACAAGTATTTATCAATAGCTGCCTATGCAAGATACTCAATATCCATTAGCCGGATACCATCAGTAACAGACTTCTGTGGGAGAGAACCAACCAGCTTCCAACCGAAGAGGAAATTCGGAAAAGATGTTGCAGGTGGATATCACCACACTGTACCACGAGGCAAGCCCTAACACGGGATTCTGAAGAGAAACGGAAAAGTGGAAGGTCAAGGAACACACTACGTCTGAAATTGGAAGCAGATATGAAAAGGATGAACAACAACTGGGAAGAGCTGGAAAGGATTGCTTTGGACAGGGTGGGATAGAGAATGCTGATGGGGGACCTATGCTCGTTCATGAGGAGTATCAGGCGTAAGTAAGTAAGGTAAATTATTAAATTGGAAGATATTAGTTACTGTCTTTTCTCTGTTTTACCCACCTTCTTACGTTGTAGCAAGTTTAGTAGCTCGTCTGAATACATTAAAGGCAAAAGACAGTAAGGCAATAAATGAAATTGTTTATTTAAAGCCTTGTACACTGCTGTGAATGTATTGCTTTACTGTAGATAGTTAGTGATAAGTCTTGCGATTTTGAACGCTATACTCGTTTCCTAAGCTATTCTGAAAACCCCCAAGCTAGAACTATACAGCGACCTGAACACGAGAGAGAAGGCGCAAAAGTATGCGGAAAGTACTTTACTCCAAGGTTCATTTTTGTTCAGAAAAACATGGGTATTTATAGATGTTAACATTTGTTAAATCAACATCATATTTTGGCCAATCCGCTAAAAGACATATTATGCTACTGACTAATAGTAGCACGCCACGCTGGCATTCTAGAAAGCTCCATCGTGCTCTGATTGGCTAAGACTCTTTGGTTCCTTCAGGGACTTCGGAGGCTCTGTTGCAGTTCTCGGAAAGCCGACTTAACAGTTAGATAAAGAGTTTTGTTTTAACAAGCGGTGTCCAAAATCAGATACTGATACATGGTGCGCTACGCCTTAACCCACACTGACTACTTCAACAAGAACAAAAGAGTGAGAGAGAAAGCATATTGGGCTACCGAATAAAATGCACAAATACTTATTCACATATATACACCAATCTTATCCTTAGAAAATTGATCTGTTTCTTAGCCAATAAAATGTATTTGTCCTTTAGGTCACCTTCAAATTAGACTGCTTCTAATTGGCTCACCATAGTACATCTCTTAAGGTAAATGTCTTCTAGGCAGAAAATTTGTTTATAAGTTTGGAAAATGTCCTCAAGAATGTTTTCTTAATGATACTAAATATACCATCTAAATATTTGAGCTGAACATTTGCTCTGTTGGTACTGCCAAAAATCTAAGATTATCGATTTCATATATAATAGGTTTACTACAATCAAAGAGGTGCAGGCTATCTTATTTCTAGTCCGTTTGTTTTGTAGATCATCAACATTGATAATCTCTATCGAATGATTGGGAACCTACTCGAGCTAGGCTGGAACGGTGTGATGAATCATCTAACTTCAAAGTCACACCTCGTGGTCAGCATCTAACATGGATTACCTCTTCGATGTATCAAAGTACTATGGCTGCTCTGAAAACCGTATAAAACAAAGAACGTTATTATGGAAATATATTAGTAGGAATGAGTACAGAGAAGATAGCGAGATCACCACTGCATGCGTTAGTCCATGACATACAATTAACTGATGCGCGTTGGTTGTCCCTGACCTTGACAGGGATAGATGATCTGTCCGATATTCAGTGACCTAACTGCGGGATGATTTGGCTAGGGCTCAATGACATTTTACTAGCCCTACAGTTTATTGTCTTATATCCATCCAAATATGAATACATTCATTCACCCAATTGTCTAGATAGCGTCCTGATATATTAACTGATGTTCGTTCATGATGAAAACCATAAATCTAATTCTTAACCCTAACTATCATCTGTAAATCATAATTCGTACTCTTCATTTAGCCCTAGTAAGTAGGTAGACATTCCCAAGGTCACTTAAGAGTCGCTCAAAAGTCGTCCATAAATTTTAGTCTCACCGGACATGCTTTTAGTATAGTTTAGTTTGTATACTTCATTAACTTTTGGTAAACAATATTATTGTAAAACAAATACGAAGTTCATATAAAATAATACAAACAATATAATCATCATACAGATGGAAAGGACAGTCTGGGATAAAGTTAATTGGAGAATCTTGGTCAGCCATCTATGCTTCGTAAGATGTTACAGGCTTAAGTAAGTAAGTGATAATTGTCATACTCAGGAAATTTAAACCTGTCACACTTAGTTGGTATAAACATATTGATCTGAAGTAATGTTAAACTATTCAAATGTAAAACTAATATGTTACAATAAAAATAAAGCTAATATCATAAAATACTACTCGGACATCGATAAAACATGAACTTGGCCTCTTTTCTCAACTTATCAGTAACATTTATTAACGATAGCAGATGGTATATCAGATGGTGTAGAAGATTTGAAGCTTAGGTGAATGATTTTTGGTGGAGTTTTGTTCTCTGAGCTAGATGGTCTGGTCGTAGAATACTGAAATTCGTGCTGATGATGTCGTTCAGAAGAACGATGAAAGCTCCCCAACTAAACTATCCACCTCAGGGAACAAAACCCCCAAATTAATGGTATATAGTTGTGAAGATTGTTAAGTTTCTTTGAGATACTGAACCGGTATAAGTAAGACAATCACTAAAAACCTGGATGAACTGGATGACCTCTTCGTCCTAGTATGGGACATCTCAGCAATAAACATCCACGACCATACACACATGAATGAAACGAATGACCTTCTGTTACACGAGTAAACGATTAACCACTAGACCAATGAGCCGCCATTTAAAGGAGCTAACGTCCAATTTCGATCAATTCACGATATTACTCGACCATTTCCATTTTCTTTAATAGGAAACTGCCTTACACCCGACAGGGTTGAACTTCGAGATGGTGGAGATTTGTAACTCAAATCAATGATTGGGGTGGAGTTGTGTTCCCTGAGCTAGATGGTTTGGTCATAAATTTCTACCTGAAGTTTGTGCTGATGATGTCGTTGAGAAGAATGATGAAAACTCTACGATCAAACCATCCAGCTCAGAGAACAAAACTCCAACAAAATGGTTAAACTTCATTAGAACTCTTGAAACTAGTCACTAGCGAGTATATGATGATTAACCAATCGACATAATTCTACTAAATTGATTTCCGTACCACAAATAATGAGGATATATATATGAAACTATTCTCAAACCATTTGAGATTATTATTTCCAAAATAGTGAAACTAGATTGATTCTAATGCATATTTTAAATAAAATATATTCAATCTATGATTCACCCAAAACAACTTTCAACCAATATCAAAGTAAGAATCTTCAATACGAACGTCAAGATAGTTCTATTGTACGGAGCTGAAACGTGGAGAACTACAACAACCACCATCAAGAAGGTACAAGTATTTATCAATAGTTGTCTACTCAAGATACTCAATATCCTCTGGCCGGATACCATCAGTAACAGACTTCTGTGGGAGAGAACCAACCAGCTTCCAGTTGAAGAGGAAATTAGGAAAAGACGATGGAGTTGATGGATAGGACATACATTACGCAAATCATCAAACTGCATCACGAGGCAAGCTGTAACATGGAATCCTGAATGGAAGCGAGAATGTGGAAGGCCAAAGAACACATTGAGTCGAGAAATAGAAGCAGATATGAAAAGGATGAATAGCAACTGTAAAAGGCTGGAAAGGATTGCATAGGACAGGGTTGGATGGAGAACGCTATTGAGCGGTCTATGCTCGTTCACGAGGAGTAACAGGCGTAAGTAAGTATAATGATACACTATGAATCTTTCATGTATCGTAAGATTTAATTAAGGAAAATTGATTTTCCATAGGCAGATATGTAAATCTATACAATTCTGTCACTAATGTTAATTAGAATACATTGATCAATGGTAAATGAAATTAGGTTAAAGCATAATTTGAATCATGATGCCTAGCTAATCCATAAATTAGAATATGTCCTGGTCACCATAACAATACAGTCCAAACATGAATCTATTTATAAATACATGTGTAATGTAAACAACAAGCAAAGTTTGTGTTCTAATATGATCAACTGTTTAATGAGGATAGTATTGTAATGAACAAGAATACCAGTGGGAAAAACCGAATGTATCTGGACACAGGTACTACAGAACCACTTAGTAAAATCTAAGAATCATACAGTAAATAGTTAATTTGCAAAATATCAGTCCATTGTCTCAAACTTGACTGTTCCTTTGGAAAATCTCAGTCTATTGTCTAAGATTTCATAGTTCATGCATTTTTATACCAATTGCTTTCCATTCCCGTTCGTTCCTTCTCGATCTTCTATTGAAATATATTCTATTTCTGTCTATTGTTTTATACTACTTATGTGGATATAAGTAGCTCACGTATCATTCAATTAAACTTTCAAACTCAATGTCAACATCTTCAATTGATTCTATTGACAATATTCCATCATATCATCCAATATTCACTAAAACACCGAATGTTTCACCAGCCAACTCATGTTCTTTACTAAATTCACATAATTATACTAATCAAATTCAATATAGAAATCAACAGAATAAACAATTTCATTCAATCTTTAAACAAAAAAATAAAAAAATCATTTATAATTTATTACCGGATCAATGGTCATTTACAAATAATGTAAGTAAGATTTCTTAAGTTAATATTGATGTTCCCTGTTTTAATTGGAATACAAATCTAAACAATTCCTTAGAAACAATTAGTAATCAATTATGTTTGTTGTTTAGGAAAAAAACATGATGTTATAAATTGAAGAAATGTGAAAATGAGCTTTAACAGATTCAGATTGAAGGATATACTGTTGATCATGTGACCTTTAGATTTTTGAGTTCAGCTTTGTGTAATTCTGTGAGTATAAATTATTATGATTTCTTTATCTATTCAGTCATTTATGAGTCAGTTAGTCAGCTACAACGTAGGACTAGGCAAATATGTACATTGGTTCAAGTTTCCCTACCTCATTAGCACAACAAGATGAACAACAAATTCATCAATGTAGTCACTTCAATGGTAGTAATGAATTAAAGAAAGACTGTGTATAAGGATATAGTACAGGAAGAAAGAATTAGTTGGTAGAACGACAGATATGAAGCGATTTGAATCTCATAGTTTAAGGAAAGAGAGAGTGTGTACACACCTACTCCATTGTGATCGATCGTGAGTCATTTCACCCATATTCTCCAATCGTTGGTTACGATAGTGACGTGGACCTCAATCAAGTAGTTCGAATCTACCAACATGGCTAAGTCTAGAAGTTAGTGACTTCCAGGACTGATGTTACGTTTTGGTTTGGCCATCCCTAACTTTTTTCCAACTATCCGCAACACTAGTCAGCATTGCGTGTCGTGTTAATCGGTGTTCAGGTATGCGCAACACGTGGCCTAACCATCTCAGTTGATGAAGATTCACAACCTCGTCAACTGATTTACCATCATTCCCTAATACCCTTTGTCTAACCTCACTATTACTTACGCGGTGATACCAGCAGATGCCAGTAATATTTTTTAGACATCTGTGGTCAAATACTATTAGCTTACAAATATCTTGTACTCTTAACGTCCATGTTTCGCAGCCGTAATGTAGAACAGAACGAACTGCCACGTAATGTACTCGTTCCTTAATTGGTAGATGCATATCTCGCCTTCGTCATAGATAACGTAATTTGGTAAAATCCAAATGAGTTTTTTGGTTCTCAATTTGGCGAATAAAACTGTTTATCTATATCAAATGCACAAGAAATAAATAGTTCCAGTAAAATCATTAGCTGTGAAATAAATTTCTTCAGTGGTGTTTTAGTGGAATCAACCAACTTAAAAATGAAAGAAACAATAAATGACATTTGATGTGTACCATACCAAATCATAAAATGAGTGCATTTAAATACATAAACTGTACAATTCAAACTCCCTTATCTGTGCTAATCGTCAAATCTTAAGGCTATATATTTGATGCATTGTTAAAGGATACCGTTAAAGTACACTGAAGTAAGGATAAAACAACCAAATAAAGCTTTCTTATTCTTAGTAGTTCTTCAGTTGAAAACAATTCACGATGGTCATTAGTTTGAATTTTGTTGCTGGTGTTTAAATGAATTTTTTTTATTATTTTCATGTGAAATATGATAATATACATACCAGATAGTGAAAAATAGAACACAATATTCAAATCACTCAACAAAAAAAGTTAATAATTTTGATGGCTACTTAATATTTATAAGTAGATAAAATAAAATCATTAAAAAAATTACCGGTCCAGAGATTTATACAATTTATGCTGATAATTCTTAAGTAGCCTGTTCAATAAATACAAAAAGCTTTATCATACAAAATATATCATACATTAATATTAAACATTTTAAAATACTTTTCATTTATGGCAGAACACTTTTAATGTACAAGTCACTTTGGATGTCATACTGTTGGGACCTATATTAATCAATAATGTCAATTCTTTCAATGAATTTGGAAGTTTAAGTTAATTTTTTTTTTAGTCAAGATACCAGTTGATCCTTTAGTGTTTTGCTGAGATTTTGCCAACTTTAAGAGAATTCTTGAATACAGTAATCATAACTACGGATGAACCAACTTCAATTTTTCAAATATAAAATTTTACAGACACAGTTGGTTTATAATTTTATTAGGATAACAAATGAATTTACTGAATAGGCTAAGTATATATCAGTGGTTTTTTTAATCTTCTATCAATCAATAAACATAAGGACTTATAATCAGGTTTACTTATTACCTAATGTATTAAATAATGAAACTTTTTTTCTGAACATAAATGGATATACTTCATGTGATTAGATCTTTATGATAACAAAACATTAGTGGTGGTATATGATCAGTTATTCAAAGCAAATACTAATGAACAGTTAAATATATCTGTACTATATATGATTCACCAATTGTATAATATAACACTGTAACGATGATATAGTGATGGAATACTTAATTGGTAAGTCCATTCATAAAGTTCATTAATTCAATGTGAAAAGAAGTTTATCAAAACTATGTAATGTATTAGCGCGACATATTTGGGTCAGTCTGATCACACAATTTTAATATTAAGTCATTTTTTTAAATGAAAGATAACAGTCAACTAAGAAAGATAGTTATCAAACATTTGATCATATTCAGTGGGTATGATCTATTCAAGAGTTCCTCAAAGTGTCCTATCCATCTGTTTGATTGTTCTTGAATTTCAGTGATTGACTTATCTTCTTTGTCCTTGACCAGTCTCTCCGGTTTACTATATTTCCCTGAAAGTTTTTTCGCTTTATCATATAGTTGTTTCATATTTCCTTCTCTTGCAGCTTTTTCCGCTGTCGTTGGTAGCTCTTACATGTATCTATGCTTGTTGGGCTTAGTGCCCTACTTCATTCTCTGGTTTGCTTCTGTGTATTCGGCTTTTGTCATGATTTTCTCTGCTCATGTTTGGCTGTTGTTAATTAGTCTTCCTGTTAGTTCTTTCTTTAATCCTGTTTATTGATTATAGCAACTCTCCTACAATCAATTCCCATTATAGTTAATTTTGGTTAAGCCCTTTTATTAACTGACTTAACAGACAATGTAATTAGAACAGTAATAATCCGCATATATCTTTGTACTATTATGAGCACCGTCTTGTCTGTATAAACGTGTACGCCTGATCACATGATAGTCTAAGCACAAATTTCTCTCTAGCTAAATTGTTAATCGCTTAAATATAGCTCGATGAATCATTCTCTTCCCCATGTATATATGTACTCGAATCTTATTATTAGCTTTTGCTTTGCCTTGTTGTGCCCTTATGCAATTTCACTATAAATTTGCCTCTGTATTTGCTCGCATAAATATATTCGCCTTTCGGCTTGGAACCTGTTGTTGAGATCTATCTTTTATTCATTTACTCTGTCAGTATCTCGAAGGGAGGTTGTATTGAACTCTCTAATGTTGTTTATCCAATTGTCCATTGATTTTTTAGCTGCAGTTTCATCTTAGCAACCATAACATAGATGGTGACCTGAAACTATGTCAACTCCTTTCTTGTTTCTCACCCCCTATATTGACCTTCTGAATAGCTTAGCGATACAAATATTATCGATCTGGTTCTGTGTATTGTGATCCGGTGAGACCCATGTAGCTTTGAGTATGTATTTGTGTGGGAATAATGTGCCACATATAAACATTTTGTTGAATGCACACAAATTTGTAAATCGGTTACGATTCTTGTTCCTTTATTCTAATCAGTCCATGTCGTCCCATGATACATTGATACCCGGTGTTGTCCATTCCTACTTTAGTATTTAGCTCTCCCATTAGGATGGTCCGGTCGTTTCCTGAGTACTACTCAATGATCGAATGAACCCCCTCGTAGAGCTGATTTTATCGTCGTCATTACTATCATTGGTGGGCGCATAACACTGAATAACATTCATTGTGATCCCCTCCTTCTATGTTTTGAAGGATGCTTTGATGATCCTGGATCCATGAGGTTACCGTCCTATAAATGCATTTCGTGCTTCGTTGGACAGTATCAGAGCAACTGCTTGCATATGTGGAGCATTCGCTTTTTCGTGACCAGAATACAACAGCATCTCTCCCGAATCTATTCTTTTTTGTCCAATTTGGGTCCAATGGGTTTCACTTATTTTGAGCACGGCCAACTTGTATCTCCTCATATCTGTAGCTATTTAATTAGTCCATTCAGTCTCTTACATTGTCCGGACATTCCATGTACCTATATTAATTATTGCTGTGGTTGTTAAAAGGGACATCGTTCTCATGACTTTTGAAGAATTTTGACTTTCATCATGAGGCGCCATAATTCTTCTGAATAAAGATACCTCAATTCGGATAACAGAATGTAAGTGGGTTATTTTAATTAGGACTTTTTCAGAAAAATTATTTTCTATGGTATGGGCTTGCTGACCCCATGCATAACCTTCCTCCATTACTTGGTCTTGGGACCGGCAGTAACTATATAAGAACTACAGGCGGAGTTGGAAAACTAAGATTGATACATACTAATCGACATAAAAATATCGAGATTTGATCCATCGGATTACATTTCTAACTTAATTTACGTCATAACAATAGCACGATGATCCTCCAATGACGTCAGTAATGACTGCCACACTCATAAAGTGAAAGAAATGCATCAGTCTTAACTTCTTACTAAAATTTTTGTAAACCGTTTTGTCATTAGTGATTCATCGCTCTACTTTATTTATTTACCTTAATTATATTTCGAAAAATAACTTTATACTTTTGACAATGACATAACAATTGATTGTTGATTGATCATTTTCTCTTCTACCATATAGAATATAAAATATGCCAAAGAAATCAATCGGTACAAACCAAATGACAATCATCAAGAAAAAAGTAAGTGATGTATGTATTACTTACTTATATCTGTTGCCCCTCCTGGATGAGCATTCATCATCTAACTTTATCCAAAGAAATCCTTTCCAGTTGCTATTCATCCTTTTCATGTCTGCTTTCAAATCCTGACGTAGTGTGGTCGTTGGTCATCCACTTTTCCGTTTCTATTCAGGATTCCAAGTTAACTCTTCAATCATGATGAAGTTTGATGACTTCAGTAATGTATGTTCTATCCATTTTCATCGTCTTTTCCAAATTTCCTCTTCAGTTCGAAGTTGGTTTGTTTTCGCCCACAGTTGCTGACACTAACCGGGCAATGAGCGTTGAGTATCTTGCGTAGACATCTATTTATAAATACTCATACCTTCTTGATGCTGGTTGTATTAGTTCTCCACGTTTGAGCTCTGTACAGTAGAACTATCTTGACGTTGGTATTGAAGATTGTGACTTCAATATTGATTGACAATTTTTTTTATTCCATATGTTCTTCGATTGTAGGAATGTGGCCTTTACTTTGTTAATCCTCGCAATTACGACTGCATCACATCCTCCACTCTCATCGATGATGCTACGCAGATACTTGAATGTTTCAACCTGTACCAGAGATTCTCCATTAAGTGTGATTGGGTTGGTGTTCGTGTTGCATATGAGATTCTCGCTTTTTCTTTTATATATGCTGAGGCTTATTGATTTAGAGACTGTTACTATATTGATGTATGTATGTTTCCTCTATCTTAACTAACTATAGTTACTTACTTACTTACTCCTGTTGCCCTTCGTGGAAGAGCCACAAGGATTCTCCATCTAAACTAGCTATGGGTTGAGAGAAAAATAAATGCCTAACGTAAGCAATAAATAGAAATACCGTAAACGTATTTGTTTGACATAGACTTGACTACTTATTAAGAATAATAAGTAGTTTAACTTTCTAAGCTATTTTATTTTTAAATCTGAAGGTATGGATGTTTTGCATTCATTTATTTCGACGTGTTTTTCATTTACACGTGGACTGGGGCACTGAGATTTGATTTCATATCGATTACAGCTCTGCTCCCAATTGATAGTTATAAAAACTGAATAAATTCCCTAAGAACATCTAGAAACGGAACATGTTCTATGTTTACATTCAAGTAACTTATTATCTCAAAGAACATGGGTCCAGAAAAAACTCCTTGTTGAGCTTAACTTCAATCTTATACAGATCCCAGATTGTCAATATACAAAGACTTTTGCTAATTTTTTCCGGTTTAAAGGAAAGTATAAGATTGGTTAGACAGTTATAAAATATTTGCATAGTGTATTAATAAGACGATTATCAGAACTATCCAATATATTAGAGCAATGTATTTCGAATAATCTGATCATATATATGCTTATTAAGAACATATACATATCGAAAATAGAAGGTAAACTAGACAAGTTCAAGTTAAGATGAGACAAGCTTAATAAGGAAAAAAAGTGAAATTCACTACGCTGGATAATAAACTAACATTACAATGGTAGGTCTAGAGTGTGAACAGACTGTCTTTGAATAAATAAATAGGGCTTAAATCTTCGCATGACCAAGGCTTTAACAAACCTTAGCATACGCTCTCTAACACTTTTGTACAAAAGCCATCTTAAGATCAATATTATGAACTGCTTCAGTCGTATGTTTGGCAATAGAGGACGATGCATGTACATCATATACTCTTATTGGATCATTTGATTTTATTTGTTTTTGCGACCATGTTCATAAGGCATATACAAACACCCTAATTTGGAAATCACGATTACTCCTTCTTATGTATGTGTGGCCACACACACATTCAAATTGGTAAAATAATAACGAAATATTGATGTTTTAATAGTTGAATTCATGAGTCGATCTATGCTAGTGCACCATTGGAAACCTGTTGGGCAGGGACAGGTATCTACCTCATACAATGGATGAATGGTTGCGAAAGGTTATGGGTCGATTGAAGTTGAACATTAACACCGTTGCATGCCGGCTCAGTGTTATAGAGGTTAAGCATCCGTGCGCGAGACCGAAGGTCCTGGGTTCGAGTGCCGAGTGAGGAACTGTGGATGCGCACTGCTGATGGGTCTCATACGAGGACGAAACGGCTGTGCAATACTTCCAAATTTACAATTGTGGTCTATCATAGATGGACTCATGAATTCAACAATTAAAGATCACTACAGTCTCCACAAGCCCCCACTCTAATAGAATTATTGATACATTGAAGGTTATATTGTTCACCAGTTGATGTTAAATAGGGAACTTTACAAAAACCAGGAATTCGTAATTGAGCATTACTTTCTACATTTAAATTCTTCCATCTTGCATACATACAATGCTAGTTGCACTCAACTCCAAAATTCTATTAATCGAAACCAGTTCAATTTACCTCAAAGTCTCTAACAAAATAACTTTCATAAATACCGATAATTTAAATACCATTCCTATTATTGAAGTGGGTTATTAAATATGATGATACTGAGAACATTATATGATAGTTAGTACTTTATAAATTCCCATAAAAGCTTATTTGGACCTCTATACAGACGGATCTATTATGTATTTTGTTCATTTATAAATATAAATAGATAGTTATTGATAAGATGTCTAACGAAGTGATCTTCTATAGTTGTATGATAAGATGATCATTTAAATGATTACGATATCATCTTCGAAATAATAGTAAATAGTGGTATAATCAGTATGAAGGTATTGAGTCCCATACAAAGGGATTTGTTAAGAACCATTAGAAAGCACAACTTATTAACTATACATGGTCAACTTTGAGTGACACTTCTTACATGAAATCTTATCAACGTAAACAATCACCAAAAACCGAAACAGGGGGACCAGGATTTAAACCTAAAATACAATGACCAAAAATAAATCGTTTTACTCAGTCAACTATTATCTCAATCCTAAAGTTATCATAATTCGAATCACATTCTTTCCGGGAATTTTACATAGTAACCAAATACTTATAAGGTAGATGATAGAAACTCTAGATACAATCAGTTTTATGTGTCTAAATATAACAACTCAGGTTGAAATAGTATCATGATGGAATAACATTTCCCGAGTTATCTCGATGATATTGTAGTGAACGAAGAAAAATTCAGGTGGGGGAAATCAATTTATTGTTTAATCATAAAGTACAGGGTGCTTTCACAAAATATAAAAACCACACATTAAATACATTATTTTCATATCTTCCTTCAGTTATCTTTTACATACTTCAGGATTCTTCTAACTCTGTTGTTGCTACGATTGCTTTCCCTTTCCATATCTGTTCTCTTCACTTGAATCTTCTCAATCTTCTACTAACAGGCATTCTACTTCTAATTGGTATTACATACTACTTATATCTGTCAACTTATTTATATCTATCAACCTGAAGTTTGTACTGATAATTTCGTTCAGAAGAACAATGAAAGCTCCATGACCAAACTATCCAGCACAGCGAACAAAACTCCATCAACAACATAGTTAGCATACACTACAATATCATTAAGTACTATTGATCTGATCATATTTAAACAATCTAAACTAAACAGCATAGAATCCTATGATATAAGGGCTGTAATGAGATTAGTTCCATATAGTTGTTGGAATCCGCTTTATTAATTTTATACACTAATTAAACTTCAATGATTAAGATCATGAGTCTGTTGATTGATCTTTAAACATTCATTTTAGCTGCATGTTTCTTAAGATGTAAAACTATTTATCCAACTTGATAATTTGTATCTGGTTAAAGTGTATACCAATAAAAAAAAAAATTAGTTGACCTTAAATACTTTGTTAATATCAAGTTTAATACATTGAAAACCTAATTAGTTTCTTTACATTTAATTCACCTTGTTTCACTTTGAATGACATGATCAATTGTACTTTTAAGGTATTATATATTAATTAGTATTGTACTTTTAGACGTAGAAAAGCAACCGACAATCGATGGTTTATGATGTGAAATAATGGAAACCAAACACCGAAATAATTTAAATGAAATGATGATGATAATAATCATAATCATAATCTTTATATTTCAGACTTACTATTAAAGAGAAAGGGTTAGGTTAATGGTGATTAATGCTAAAGAAACCAGACTAGAATGAAGAAGTTATCGGTTGTTATTTAGTTATTCAACTGTTATCAATCTACAATGAGAATTAATATCATAGAAACTACCGTTGACTGATCAATAGGTAGTAATCAATAACATATTTGTCTAGTATTTGTTGTTATTCAAATTAATTCGTAAAAGAGTCATTAGTCTCAATGACTAGACATCTCGTGCATCGTGATCTATAGAATTCGATCAATACTAAGGATCAGAAAAGCAACATACTGATCAATATCCTTTGATCAGTCAATTTAAATATTTCACTCCTATAACAGATCGATGGCCCTGTCAATACTCGATTTAGTAATGTTTATGACTTGGACCGTGCATGGAGGACAGTTGACAAACTCCTTCAAAGTAAAGACCGGTGTCAGGCAAGGTTGATTACTCTCACCCTTTCTCTTTCTCCTGGTGATCGACTGGATCATGAAGACGTCAACATCTGAAGGGAAGCACGGGATACAGTGGACAGCTAGGATGCAATTGGATGATCTAGACTTCGCAGATGATCTGGCTCTTATATCGCATACGCAACAACAAATGCAGGAGAAGACGACTAGTGTAGCAGCAGCTTCAACAGAAATAGGTCTCAATATACACAAAGGGAAAAGCAAGATTCTCCGATACAACACAACATGCACCAATCCAATCACACTTGAAGGAGAAGCTTTGGAAGATGTAAATACCTTCACATATCTGGGCAGCATAATTAATGAACACGTTGGATCTGATGCAGATGTAGAGAACTACGAAAGCCATCATCCAGAAGATACAGGTGTTTATTAACAGTTGTCTACGCAAAATACTTCTGATCCGTTGGCCAAACACTGTCAGCAACAACCCACTGTAGGAGATAACAAACCAAATCCCAGAGAA